CCATTCTAAGAGAAGAAATAGCACTGCATATATGAGAGGCAAATGTAGGGTTAAATAACACCCATCCACTTTCACAGCCCCATTTGTGGTCTGCAAAAGTAGGAGGGCATTTTTCTTGGGATGTTGAGGAGGAGAACATTGTGGTGTTTTGAGGAGCTAAGGGCAAAAGGTGCCAGGAGCATATTCTCTTCCCCTTTGAACAGTGGTTGAAAAACTGTGGCTCCCCAAATGCTGTTGGACTGCAACTCTCATTAACCCCAGACAGCATGGCCAATGGTCAGCAATGATGGGACATGTGGTCCAGCAGAAACTGGAAGGTCAAAGTTTCCCTACTATTGCCCCAAGGCAGGGCTGGAGAACCACTCCAAACCTCCCTGGTCACTAGCCATTGTGACTAGTTCAGCAACATCTGAAGGGTTATGGGTTCCCTCACCCTGCCTTAGAGTGCCCTGGTCACATAGGAGGTGATTTAAGTTCCTGTTACATTGGGAAAATAAAACCTAGCCTCCCTTCCTCACTTGCTAGATTCCTGGTGAGCAGCCCTCCCCACCCCTGGAATCAATGAAATTTAAAAAGGAAACACAGCTACATGGTATGCATTAAGTGTAATGTGTAGTTTGGCTCTCAGTCTTGAAGAATTGTCCACATCTTTCACACGTGTCTTCCAAGAGCCATTTTTCTTCAATAGTAAGAATCTCCCTCGACTCGTATTTTGTCTAGAACAGGCACAAAAATCTGCTCAGCAGTATTTGGTCTGAGTCCCATCACTCAACTCTGCTTTTATTGTTGCTTTAGCTGGCTTATTAGTCAATTGGGAGGAACAGCGTTGAATTACATTATAGCCTATCATAAACCAAGACGTAATGGATGGTGTGTAGTAATAAAAAGGAATGATACCAGCAGAACTATATATGGTGGGGCAATGTTGATATTACATCTTTTGCACAAATGTAATTAAACTGTCTTCCTCTTTCCTTGATGCTTGTTTATTTTGTTTAAGGTTTTTCTTTTTACCTTCAGCATTATTCTTTATAATGATCTAATATTATTTGCTACTGAGTTGATCAGTGGAAAGACACAGTTAAGTGTATTTTCACCAAGTACAGAAAAATAAAATGATGTACACATGTTTGAACCAGTCCAAAGTTGTTCTTGTTTTGCATCTCGCCAGCATTTCCAGCTTTCATAAACCAGATGTGATTCCCTAAAACCAGACAAAACAGTGCTTCAGGCACCTCACTTTATCAATGGCAGTGTTCAAGTCAGCATGACCAAGCTTATCTTCAAAGTGTCTTGCAAGATTGTCATGGTGAGGGTTCCAGTATGGCATTTACTAGAGTACAAGAAAGCAATCCCCACACCACTTGAAATAGGTCAACAGGAAAACTTCTTGAGGGTGCAATGGAGGTGACAAAGTGTCTGGACTGGTTCTGCTGTAGGTCAGCATGGAGACTCAGAGACGAGCAGTAAAGTTGCTTCTTTATTCAAGAAAACAGCATACAAGCAGAGAAACCTCAAGGCAAGACGGGCCCCTAGTGACACAGTTGCCAGGACTGACAATCTGTGCCTCCTACTTCCCCCTAAGTTTCCCCCTCCCTAGCTGGATGTCTCCCAAGCAGCCTTAAACTATGTCAGGGAAAGGCCACGTGCTCTTTGTTCTTCTGCACAGAAGGCTCTTCGTGACCTTGGAGACCAGGTTGGAAGGGAGTTTGCTACAGTAGGAAAGGCAAGCTCTGTGGGTGTTTCTGTTGCCTATGGCCTCTCCTTCCCAGCTTCTTGTCCAGAGTCTGAATTGCTTCCTGCCTCTGGCTCTTCTCTCTCACTCAAGCCTGCTTTTCAGCATCCCTTCATCCTCTGACCTGTCCTCAGTGTCCCACCACCACTCCCCTGGCTCTGAGCCTTTCTCCTCTGGGTCTTCCCCAGGGGGTTCTTCGGATGTAACCTCCCACCACTCCTTGTCGTCCATCCAGTCCCTGACACAAAGTAGGTTTTCTTTGCTGCCTTCACTGATATTTGATAGACACAATCTTTCACTTCTACTTGGTTTCTTCCAAATATCCAGACCATGCCTCTCCCGCCAAGAAGCAAAGACTAAATCAAAGCTATGCCCAGCCCTATGGGTTGGACCGATGAGATGTTGAGATACAACCATGGTTGTCTTGGAGGTCACAAAGTCGCAAGCCAGCCTTGTCAAGGTGGTCCCAGAGTCAGAATAGAAATTCACCAGGACTAAGCTACTGGGGTTTTCCAGCACCATACCTGAGGCCACCTCTGCTGCTTAGACTGTGGGGCAGCAGGGTGGGTGGTAAACTAATAGCACTCCCTGATCTGTCTCACTGGATCTGCACCAAGTACAGATTCTTACAACCTGTTCCCAGGTGGAGGGGTTTTCTGGTGAGTGGGTCACAGTGATTCCCCCTCTGATGCCCACAAGCTTGGCTTGGTGCTACACCAAGCTGGGTAAGATCTACTCTGTCGAGCTTGCCTACCCAGTTCTCAGTAACCCACACCAGACTTGCTCCCTCATCTGCAACCAAATCACATGAGCGATGTTTTATTCTGAACATTGAATAGCAACACCAAGTTAGAGGGTTCAGGAGCTAGGGCACCGGGTACCTACAAGGCAGATGAAGGTCGGGGGGGGGGATTGTCTTCAAACATCTGGACCCCATCACCTTCCAACCATGTTCCACCTACTGCTATTAGTCGTGATGGTGACTTGAAACTTTTTTGGGTGGGAGGATATTAATGGTTTAGTCGTTTTTGTAAACTGTCCTGGGAATACGATTGAAGGGTGGTATAAAAATACTTTTAAGTAAATAACCATTCAGATGGCGTAATGCACTGGGGAACTACTAGCATCGCATCCTGCTCTGGAGTTTTCTGGCAACATCTTGTTGGTTAGACATAGTACAAATAAAATTCCTAGCATGGTCTGTAAAGAGAGCTAACTTTTCTTTCACATCTCCTGGTGATTCTATGTAATCAATGGAATGCTTTAAATTCTAATGAATATCTGCACTCTGTATAGTTGGCTTCTTTGGTACATTCTCTCATTTTTATGTATTTACATTAAGATTACATCCCTCCTTACTCTCTCTCTAGATCAATCATAGTTGTTAGATGAATGAGATCAGTACATTTGCCATTACAGAATTGTGGAGAATATTCAAATATGTACTTAGTCTCAGCCCTGATGGTACTTGAAGTTTCTTGTAAAGATGTTCTTTGAAGAGAAAATTTGATGCAATTAATCAGCCTCCAATGTGCCACATCAGCAGTTACTTATTTAGGCAATGCAGACAAATGCTAACAGAAAGTGTATCCACCAGATTTAGCACATCGAAGAAAGGGTGGAATTACTCAGCAGAGACTCAAGACAGCTTCAGCATGTTCTCTGTATGCCATCAGCCAAGAAGTCAACTCCATCTTGGTCATTGAAGTGAGAGAGCTTAGTAGAAGAGTAGCTGCCCACTGGCTTCTGCCATTTCCTGAGCAAAATGTTTATGTAAGTATGTGTGCCATCCCGTGCCTCAGATAATATACATATTATGATGGTTGAATGTCTGAAATTTTTTTTGGGGGGGGGGGGCTTTTGCTTCACTCTTATTCTGTCAGCAGTTCACACAGGGCCTCACACCAGAGGGAAGAAGGTTTGCGTGTTTAGATCTTCAACCTCCCCCTTAAATAAATTCAGATAAGACTCAAATTTTTGGTTTGTTTTTTGGCAGAATTTAGACCACAACTTTATTGATTACATCAAGTGAGTGGTTGCATAGGCTCTGGTTCGACTAACTCCCTGCCACACAGGTAGCACTGACCCAGGGCACCAGCATAGGTCAGCCTTGGGTGAACACCTGGAACAGTAGAAAGCCAGGGTCAGGCTAGTCCACCACCCAGATGTCCCCCTGGACTCAGGCACGGGCACAACCCCTCTCGGGTTGACCAAACCATTGAGTCCCTGGATGCCTTTAACGGACTACCCTTCACCATAGGGATGGCGAGAGTGTTCTCCCATCCCTATCACCTGAACCAGAGCCTATCCGCAACCTTACAAGTTGTGACGATTTGCTACACGGCAGGCGAAACCCACATGGCAACAGCCAATCAGCCAAGTGGGGGAAATTCCTGCCGTGCCCCTGTCCCAACGACAGACGACACATGACGGCATAGCAAGGTCAAGCACAAAGCCCTAAAAGTAGGGAGAGGTGGGTGAGTGTTCTGAATGCACGCACCGAAAGAGGAAAGTGTATCATCTTCTGAACGATGCACATCAAGTCACACATCCAAACCACCCCAGGGTGCTTTTGTTCCTGGTCAGCTGGCAATCCGAGTAGTGGAGTGAGGGAGGTGATGGGTCCCATGGAAGCATAAGCAAGCACTGCACCCTCTTTTGCTTATGCAGAATTGTTAAATTCTTTGGATTGCAGCTTGGTATTATGTGGCTGCACAAGCCTCCTATCATCCCATCCTCCCCATCCTTTTATTAGCTGCACTGCAGGAGGAAATTATGCTTCTAATTGTTACTTTCTTCCTGTCCTTCAAATGAACATCTCCCTATCTCCAAAGTGACTTTGAGGTGCGAAAGCTCCTTTCAGAAAATAGCGATATTAAAAACATCTTTTCAATTTGGAATAATCATATTTGTGTGTGCATGTCAACCGAGAACGCAGAAGAAAAGGCATTAAAGACAGCAATAAACTTCGTATATATTAATTTATCTAGCAATGAAGGGTCCCCTCCCCCAACTGTCCTTGCTGGGTTGAATAATACATCAGCTTGTAGCGCTTCCATTATCAGATTGCTTCATTTATTCCATCTACCAAGAACAGGGAAATTATAGCAATAAGTAGAAGAAAATGGTTTCAAACTTGCTTGACTTAGAAAAGATCGTCATTTTGATTTTTTAAAAGACAACAATAACTCAGCATTCTGTACAGAACTTCCAGTCAAAGCTAACCACAAAAGACCTCTGTTTTTTAAAACCCATTTCTAGGAATTTATTTGCCATCAATTTTTAAATTAGGTTTCCGGTCAATCTGAGTAGCATATAAACGACTGGATGATAAGATCTGATAAGGCTGCCGATATCCATCCAGTTTGCTGCAATGTTTACGCAATATGGTCTTATGGGATCCCATCTCTGTACAATTAGGGTCTACATGGGCCTTAATGTATTTGTAACAACAACAAAAAGAGCACCCAAAATAAGCCCTTGGCATAAACAGCCAGAAGGTAATCTCTCAGAGGGCACCTGTTCATGGACTGGATGTTTTAACAAAAAACTGGCCCTGCCATGAAAGAACAGGCAGCAACATTCTTCAGGTGGCCCGGCGGGGGTGGTGGAACAGATGAAGGCAGGAACTAGTATCTCAGTAATGCAGCAAGACTTTTTAGACTGTCGATCGTAACAAAAGGGGCTTTGGAGCTACACTCCAGACAGCAAGAGGCAGTTGCAGATGGTAGGGTGGTGCAGTGGGACAGAAAGGGGAAGGGGTTGGGAAAGCCAAGGTTAACACAGTGTGTTTGCTCCACATGGACCTCATCCACCACTTTCCCTTTCCATCTCTCCATCCTGGGATGCAGCCCTGACACAGGTGACCTGAGGTCAGGTGAGTGCCGCCACCCTACTACAGTGGTACCTCGGGTTAAGTACTCAATTCATTCCGGAGGTCCGTTCTTAACCTGAAACTGTTCTTAACCTGAAGCACCACTTTAGCTAATGGGGCCTCCTGCTGCTGCCGCTCTGCCGGAACACGATTTCTGTTCTCATCCTGAAGCAAAGTTCTTAACCCGAGGTACTATTTCTGGGTTAGCGGAGTCTGTAACCTGAAGCATATGTAACCTGGAGCATATGTAACCCGAGGTACCACTGTACTGGCAAAATATTTTGATTCAGCACTGGTTTGAGCTTGTAGGTCGGGTGCCATTTGCTCCAAACACAACAATATTGTCCTGATAGCCTCAAAACAGCAACACAGTTTGGGGAGGAGGCAGTTTTACAGCAGAAAAGCAGAAAGAAGGCAGAGAGGGCACTTCACACTCTTCGGGCTGCGAAGTTCTCAACTTGCTCCTGAAGCCGTGCTTCTAACTTGATATGCACATCTTAGGAGGTGGCAACACTGATCCCTGGGACCAGAAAAGCTTTGCCTGCTGGTTTCTGCAGCAGAAACTGCTTCTGAAGGCACAATAGCACATTGGGCCAGTTTTTATGTTCATAAGGCAGCCCCAATGCATACCTATGTGGTGAATTGTGGTATTGACTGCATTCTGGAGGCCTGTTGAAAACCGAAGTTCTCTAAAATAAGAACTGGAATCCAAACCAAGGTGACTGGTTTCTCTGCTCACATAGAGGCCTCATGAACTCCAAAGCTACCTCACAAGGTCAGTGGGTCTTCTGCAATGACAGCCTAGAAGGCATGATTTCAGAAAGAGTTATTGCTCCTCTCCCCACCTATGAGCATAAGTGCTTGTGCATCAGGAATTGGGAGCAGGGTTTAGGGTTTGATCTCACCCATGGTAAATTTCATTACATGGAGATGCTGAAGGAAAGATGATAATTGTAGCTCTCCTATATGTTGTATACAACATATAGTATATGTTTACAACTATATGTTGTAAAATATATGTTTACAACTATATGTTGTAAAAAGCAGGGACATCACCTTGCCAACAAAGGTCCGTATAGTTAAAGCTATGGCTTTCCCAGTAGTGATGTATGGAAGTGAGAGCTGGACCATAAAGAAGGCTGATGGCCGAAGAATTGGTGCTTTTGAGTTATGGTGCTGGAGGAGATTTTTGAGAGTCCCATGGACTGCAAGAAGATCAAACCTATCCATTCTTAAGGAAATCAGCCCTGAGTGCTCACTGGAAGGACAGATCGTGAAGCTGAGACTCCAATACTTTGCCCACCTCTTGAGAAGAGAAGACTCCCTGGGAAAGACCCTGATGTTGGGAAAGATGGAGGGCACAAGGAGAAGGGGACGACAGAGGACGAGATGGTTGGACAGTGTTCTAGAAGCTACCAGCATGAGTTTGACCAAACTGCGGAAGGCAGTGGAAGACAGGAGTGCCTGGCGTGCTCTGGTCCATGGGCTCAAAAAGAGTCTGACATGACTAAACGACTAAACAACAACAACAACAACAAATCTTACTTGTTTTTTGCTGCAGCAATAAATCATAGGGTCAAGTTTTTAAAATCTTGTCCATTTTCATCCTGTCATTTAGACACAGAAGCCCCTCACCAGTGTCTGAGTGCATTGTCTATAATAGCATAGCATTATAGAATTGCGGGGTTCGAAGGGACCTCAAGGGCCATCTAGTCCAACCCCCTGCAATGCAGGACTCTTTTGCCCAACATGGGGCTCGAACCTACAACCGTGACATTAAGAGTCTCATGTGTTGACTTTTTGCAGTATGGTAGCGCTGCAGAGAGCTTGCTGGGGAGACCATGCATTAAAAAGGGACTCAAAAATAACTTAAACAAGGTTTTAATAAGAAAAACAAAAACTCCTTTTACACTAAATACATTAACAAACAAACATGACCCAACCACCAACCCATCCCCCAGGGTAATGGGAGAGCTAGGTGCTGCTCCTTATATACTACACCCAATTACCAACACAGCTTAATCAATACAACTCAGCAGCACCTGCTATGTTTCACAGCTGTAAAGCTGGGTCTCGTTATTTTGCTCTGGCCCTTTCTCTGGCCCCTTAAAGACATACACATCGAGTGGAACAATGATGAACCTTTACATATTAAACCATTCAACATTTCCCCTGCGGTTCATCATTGTGGAACAAAAACATAAAGCATACTTTGTACATGTTTTTCATGTATACCTTTTGGAAGTGCTTTAGTAAAAATGTCTGCAATTTGATTGTCACCTGGAACATATTTAAATACAACCATTTCATCAGCAATTAGTTTCTTTACAAACTGTAAACGTAATCTTAAGACTTTAGTGCGCTGCGTATTGGTTTCTGAACATAGGATAGCGAGTCCACTCTGGGAATCAAGGTAAACTTTTACTGGTAGTGTTACTTGCATCTGTAGGTCTGCGAATACTTGCAGATACCATTCCACATCACGAGTGGCCTGAACACATGCACATAATTCACTCTCTGTTGTGGAGAGACAAATAATGGTTTGTGTCTGGGACTTCCATTCAAATGGACAACCATTATAACAAAACACCATACCAGACACACCCCTGCAATTATTTTGTTCCACTGCATGAGATGCATCACAGAAAATTTCAAAACCTTTGTCAATACATGTTGTAAACTGCAACCTATAATGTTTGGTATGTTTAAGGTACATTACCACTCTCTTAAGAGCAGAGAAACATTGTGTAGTGGGCTTTTCCACAAATTTTGCCAGAAAGTGAAAGGCATAAGTTATATCTGGTCTTGAGATTCTTTGAATGAAATTTAGCTTGCCTATAGCAGAACGATACAAAGTTTTGTTAGGAAATGGCTTATCTTCACCTGTAAAAGTGAAACCACACACCATGGGCGTTTCCTTCCCATTTGCATTTTCTAAACATAGCATTTCAACAAGATCGTCAATTTTTGCAGTTTGATGAACCAGAAAAGATCCATTTTTGCCTTTCTCAATTTGCATGGATAAGTAATTTTTAGCTATGCCTAATTCCACCACATCAAATTTCTTCTGTAACTGTGTTACTACCTGTTCATATTCCTGTTTAGTTTTTGTAGAAATTAACACGTCATCTACATAGACACATATTTTGCTACAGAGTTTGCCCTTTCCTTTATAAACACACAATTGTCTGCCTTTCCCTGTGAAAAACCAATATCCAGCAATTCTTTTGCTAAAGTTTGATGCCAATTCCTTCCACTTTGGTGCAGACCATAAAGGGATTTATTTAATTTGCATACCAAACCTTCAGCGGCGTCTATGCCTTCAGGGACACGCATAAAAATTTGTTCTTTTAAATCTGCAAACAAATATGCAGTTTTTATATCTAGGTGATAAACAGAATGTCCACGTTGTGATGCATCTTTTAACAAAAGCTTAACTGTTTCATATTTTACACTTGGTGAATAACACAAATCATAATCTTCGCCTGGAATTTGTTGAAAACCCTAGCAACTAATCTTGCCTTGTACCTTACAACTTCATTTTTGTCATTCATTTTAACTCTATAAACCCATTTTGAATCAATAAGTCTCATATCTGGGGTTTGTGGTACAAGAGACCAAGTGTTATGCTCTTTTAAAGAAGCTATTTCAGAGTTCATAGCTTTATACCAATTTACAGCTTGGTGCTTAGGTAAATTCTGAACATCATTGTAGCTTTTTGGCTCAAAAACTGCCTTATTGGCATACACAGTATTAAAATGTTCATCTGCAAAACGTTGTGGCTTCTGTCTCTTTCTATCTGAACGTCTCAGTCCGGAAGGAGAGTCAGACTCCTCAGACTTAATGGGACTATGTAAACTACTAGTTTCAGGTTGTAAATCATCATTGTCAGACTGAAGAGATGCCTGTTGGCTAAGCTCACGGTCAGAAAACTCAAGAGAATCTAACCTCCCCTCGGGTGCCTGTGACTTTAAATCATCAAAGAAATTATCAGATTCAACAGGCTTTTTGTCTTCTTCCATTAATTCAGAAGCACCATTTCCTGCTGCTGCTGCTGCTTCTTCTACCTCTTCTTCCTCAGTATTATCTATACCATTACTATCTTGGAAAACAGCAACACCATTCCAATTTACAGTTTGTATCATGCTTCTGGTAATATGAAATTTGCCAGTTGCTGGTATGTAAATTCTGTACGCCCCCTGCTGGTAGCCCATTAATTTTCCCTGGACACTACGTTCACCCAATTTCTGCTTAGCGGGATAATGCATTATTACATCTGAACCCCAAATGCGTAGGTATTTCAGATTAGGGCGTTTTTAAACAGCTTCTCATAGGGGTGACATCTAAACCAGAATGATAACTGCGATTTCTAACATAACAAAAGGCATTGAGCGCTTCAGCCCAAAAGTCTTTGGGCAGATTAGCATCATGCAGATAAGTTTTAACCCCTGCCTGCAGGTCACGCTGCACAACTTCAACAAGCCCATTTTGCCAGGGACTTCGGCGTCAAGATAACTCATGAGTAGTCCCCTGCGCTTCCAGGAATTTCTCAAAATCCTCAGAAACAAATTCCCCGCCCCTGTCAGAAAAAAGGTTCTTAATAGGTTTGTTAAAATGTGTTTTTACCCAGTTGCAAAAAACTTTGTACTTCTCAAATGCTTGGGACTTCTCAGCTATTGCATAAGTCCAACAATATCTACTATACTGGTCTATCAGGGTAAGCCAGTACTTAGAACCTCCTAAGGATGGTGGGAGTGGCCCAACTAAATCACAATGTACACGCTCAAATGGCTCAGTTACTTTCCTATCTGAGCACCTACCCTTGCGTGCAACCTTAATCTTATTCTTGCAACAGGATAGACATTGCATAAAGAATTTACATGGTTTTAAGTTGAGGCCATTAACAATATTCTTGGTCTTAATTACATCAGCAAAATTCAGATGTCCCAGAATTCTGTGCGCCTCATGGACACACCCAGAATGTGGCCTTACATTCCTCAACCCCTGGCTTGACTGTGCTGCTCTGCAATTTATAGGCGATTGGGAGTAGGTGCGAAAATACAGTCTATATAAACCATCAGATTCCCGGGCATACAATAGACGTTTGTTCCCCTCGAAAAACTCACACATTGACTTTAAGAAACGCACAGTTATGCCTTGACGAGCAAAACACCTTACTGACAATAAATTGTCCACTGATGGGCAGTAAATGCAGTTCGCTATAGTAATGTTTAAAGAGTCAAGTTTAACAGTACCCCTGCCAGCGACTGCAAGACTTGTGAATTGGCTAAATGTACATTACCAATTTCCTCTTCGAAAGAAATAAACAAGCTTCGATCGTTGCAAACGTGCTGAGATGCTCCTGAGTCCACAATAAAAGAATTCCACTTGGCACCTTTAATTCTTTTACGATCTCTTGTGCTAGCGTGAAAAGCTCGCGGCTCGTTTCTGTCTTTACGGTACGATGCCGGCTGCTGAGCTGACGACCGTGACTGACGAACAGAAACAGACTTGGGAGTACTTTGCTTTCTTTTGGATCTGCAGTCCTTTGCAAAATGTCCTTGCTTATTGCAGAACCAACAACGCTTTGCAGCTTTAAATGCAGTTGTATCACCACAAGTTTGCATATGGCGTTCCTCATTCTTTCTGGAAATAGGAGTGCTTATGGCACAAGCCTCCCTTCTGTCCAACTCGCCCATTAATCTTGCCGTTACCCCTTCCACAGTTAATTGTGCTGGTGGTACGGCAGATATCGGGCTAGCTATACCATCAAAGTCCTCATTAAGGGAACAAAGGATGATGAAAACATACTGAATATCAGGTATCTCCATGTCCCTTCGAATTAATTCGCCGCGTATTGCCTCCAGGCGTCTCAAGTGTGCTGCCAAATCACCACCAGGCTGCAACTTCGTCTGGTACAACTGCTTGAAAACGTCAATGCAGACGCTGACTCTTTTCTAACATGCACTGCTGCAAGACTGTCCCACATTTCTTTGGCAGTTTTCTTATTTCTTATATAGACTACTTGCTGGTCGCTGACTGCCAAATTAATTATCGCCCTGGCTTTCGCATCTCCTTTCGACCAAGCATTAGTCACAGGGTCAGGAGGGTCATCAGTTACATAGGTCCATACTTCTCTAGAGGTCAAAAGCGCCTCCACCCGAAAAGACCATAAACTATAGTTCTCATCTGTCAGCTGTGGGAAGACCAGAGCCTTCTCAGCTTCAGGAACCCGGTCAACCATTCTGGAACTCTTCCAGACCCACAGAACTACGCTAACAGGAGAAGGAGTTTTCAAACCTTTCTCAGAGTCCAAAAATATGCAGTCATCCACTCAGCAGCTGGGCCCATAACCAAAGATGTTGGCTTTTTGCAGTATGGTAGCGCTGCAGAGAGCTTGCTGGGGAGACCATGCATTAAAAGGGACTCAAAAATAACTTAAACAAGGTTTTAATAAGAAAAACAAAAACTCCTTTTACACTAAATACATTAACAAACAAACATGACCCAACCACCAACCCATCCCCCAGGGTAATGGGAGAGCTAGGTGCTGCTCCTTATATACTACACCCAATTACCAACACAGCTTAATCAATACAACTCAGCAGCACCTGCTATGTTTCACAGCTGTAAAGCTGGGTCTCGTTATTTTGCTCTGGCCCTTTCTCTGGCCCCTTAAAGACATACACATCGAGTGGAACAATGATGAACCTTTACATATTAAACCATTCAACATCATGCTCTACCAACTGAGCTATCCCAGCCTCAATTAAAGGACATTTGGGGAGGATAAGTTATGTACATGTATTTAGCAGCTTCAATTTTGCTGTGTCAGATCGATGAAAATATGCCAAATTTGTTTACGGATGAATTAATCATGACATTATTTTGAGAACATTGCAATTGCATCAATTACACTGCATTTAGTATCATAAATAAGCTGCATAATAATTGAATGGAATACAGTGGAACCCTTTTTCTATTAATGAAGGGAGGAGGGGGGAGCAGAATCCGATTACAATCAAATAAGAGAGTCTGTGTGTAGTTGGCTGTGTAGGAGAGAGGACGGGGGAGGGCTTTAAGTGATACACATTATTGGATATGGTAAATCTTCATGAAATCTAATAGAACGTTTAGCTGTAAAAGCACATGTACAAATTATTACATTCAGATTTTGTAGGCAGCTTAACGCCTAGCAAATATGAAGAAGTTATCTGAGATGATCCTATTGCAAGTGGACCTAATGTCGAGGTGACTTTGTCAGGTGCAGCCAAGTCTCCGCTTGTATATCCAATTTCAACATAAGCAAGAGCTAATATTTTAATTTGGCTGATCAATAACGTTGAGAGTGGCTGTTTGCTGACATTCAGAAATAAATGTGGGTTACCAGAGGACACCTTGAATGGCTCTAAGCTGCCGTGAAAATCACAATAGTTCGTGCCGATGCCTTTCCTAAATTATACATAGTGATTATATGAGATTAGAAATAATTGAACGGCAAGATGTGAAAATATCAGAGCGCATAGAAAATTCAGCAGGTTTTAGAATCCCATGTGCAAGACATTGTGGTCCTTGAACTGGATGATATCTCTGCTCCCACCATCCTCTCCTCCTCCTCTCCCACTGGCAACCCTACTTATTTTCTTCTCTCCCTGCTTACATTCTCTATTGTTTGCCACTGCCAGCAATACTGGCAGTATCTTCCTCTCTGAGGAAGGGTGAGGCATTATGGTATCCCCTCCAAGTGCCCCTATTTTCCAGGGACAGTCCCAGATTTAAAGAAGCCATCCCTGTTTCTGATTTGATCTCAGAATGTCCCACTTTTTCTTAAGACATCCCTAAGGAAGGAATATTGGAGGGTATGGTAAAAGGTAAAGGGACCCCTGACGATAGGTCCAGTCGTGGACGACTCTGGGGTTGCGACAATCATCGCGCTTTACTGGCCACAGACAGTTTTTCCAGGTCATGTGGCCAGCATGACTAAGCAGCTTCTAGCGAACCAGAGCAGCACATGGAAATGCCGTTTACCTTCCCACTGGAGTGGTACCTATTTATCTACTTGCACTTTGACGTGCTTTTGAACTGCTAGGTGGGCAGGAGCAGGGACCGAGCAACAGGAGCTCACCCCGTCGCAGGGATTCAAACTGCCAACCTTCTGCAAGCCCAAGAGGCTCAGTGGTTTAGGAGATCCCTATATCCATCAGAGAAATGATGGAGGGTATGGAGATATGCGGCCCCTGAGCCAAGGAGATAAGTAACTATACAACCTTTAGAAGGCATCTGAAGGCAGCCCTGTGTAGTTTTATTATGTTTTTATATGTTTTGGGAGCCACTCAGAGTGGCTGGGGCAACCAAATCAGATAAGCAGGGTAGAAATAATAATAAAATTATTATTATTATTATTATTATTGGAATAGGGTGTCCATATTTTCATTGGTGAAATGCTACACCCCAGCCCCATGAAAACGCTAACTCTGATAATCAAATTTTATTTCTTCAGTCTTTTCCACAGACTTTTCCAGATAAGAGCACAACCTTATTCGCGCAGCACTGATGTCAAAAGAGATCGCGAAGGAAATCTTATAAGCTAAATAAATCTGCAAGTGACATTAAGGAATAAATGTATACCTATATACAACCACAAAACCAGAGGACAGGGGGAGAAAACTGCAAAGTAAGGAATTCTGCACAAATGTGACTTCTCAGGGTTTTATTAAGGATTATGGCTGCTTTTCCTATGAGGAAAAAAATACCTCCCTTTTGGTATATGTTATATTCATGTTTTGGGCTGCAGTAATTGCTTCACATTTATGGTTTTATATGACACTGAAAGCTAAACTTAGTGTATTTGTATTTTAGCTTTCAACTGGTTCATTTGATATATGCTCTATTCTGGCCAAGCACCTGCTACCTTGACAGTTCTCTCCAGGCACTTAATTAAATGGGCTGTTGCCTTGGAATTAACCAATTAAAGCTGATTCAAATCTGCAGGGAGGGGATGCGGGTGGTGCTGTGGGTTAAACCACAGAGCCTAGGACTTGCCGATCAGAAGGTCAGCGGTTCAAATCCCCACAACGGGGTGAGCTCCCGTTGCTCGGTCCCTGCTCCTGCCAACCTAGCAGTTCGAAAGCACGAAGTGCAAGTAGATAAATAGGTACCACTCCGGCAGGAAGGTAAACAGCGTTTCCATGCGCTGCTCTGGTTCGCCAGAAGCGGCTTAGTCATGCTGGCCACATGACCCAGAAGCTGTACGCCAGCTCCCTTGGCCAATAAAGCAAGATGAGCGCCGCAACCCCAGAGTCGGTCACGACTGGACCTAATGGTCAGGGGTCCCTTTACCTTTACCTTTAAAATCTGCAGGGCGTGTATATGGTGCAGCCCTAGGAGGCTCAGAATAATATGGGGGGATGGGGGGCTGCTTGCTTAAATGGTTCTGGCTCCCAACTGCATAGCAAAAGCCTCTCTCCTATTGTATTTTCACCTGCACTATGACACTGATATGAGCCTTTGCACTGCACAGCAAAATGCAACTTGTACACGAACGGCAACACCTGAGATAGGTGCGTTTTGTGGCCAAATAGTTAGAATAGGACTCCCTTTTACTTATACCATTTATAATCTAAGAACTCCCCACCCCACCTTATCTGCCCAACAACCCAAAGAGGGAGGTTAGGCTGAGAGTGACTGACACAAGGTCACCCCATGACCTTCATGGCTTAGAGGAGATTTGAATTTAGATGTGACAGCAAAGGCGAGCAAACCGATTAACTTTGCCCCTTCTGTGGTCCTCGCTACTGCTATCAAATCAACATCTTCATTTTGTCCCCTGACTGCTTTCACCACAACAGCCCATTGTCCTTTGTAATTTTGCTAGCCAACTCACTATATGAATAAGGCTGCTAAGTGTGAGATGAAACTCAAGGCAGCAGACAAAAGCTGAACAAGCAAAATATTTAGTTTTTACCATGCATTCTGAAAATTACTGCAATGATATTTCTTAGAGGGAAAACACTTTATTAAAAAAGTTCAAGAAGTAAAAGATAAAAACATTTTGGATATGAAAGTAAAGAAAAACGCATCCATCAAAATCTTGTCGAGACCATTTCTCTAATTTAGCCAGCATCTTCATTAGAGCATTTTCCCCCCAGCTCAGTCTAATCCATAAACTTCCAGCCCTTCTCGTTTTCAGCTCAGATTCTTTTGTTCCTAGAGTCTCTCCCTGTCTTCTTCCTCTGATTTCAAGTTCTCTTTTCTCCTCCTTGTCTGCTTCACTTATATCGGTATTCCCACAACCCCATCCAACCTCTTAACTGACCAGGAACAGAATTGCAATTTTGCTAAGCTTCTCGTTTCCTAGACTGACCAATTGTCCCTTCTATGACCTTTTGAACATCCTGGCAAAAACAGCCTTAAAAAAAAAATTATACTTTTCAGATATATTCATTTCACCGATTTTACAATCATTTTGACATTTTAAAACTTGACTTCCTTCCCCCTCTTTCTGCAGTTCCTTAAATTTATTTTTAATATCTTATGCCTATCCAAATTAACTTCTCTTACTCATTTATTTATCTTCTTTAAATATACAGTGGTACCTCGGGTTACGTACGCTTCAGGTTACATACGCTTCAGGTTGCAGACTCCGCTAACCCAGAAATAGTACCTCGGGTTAAGAACTTTGCTTCAGGATGAGAACAGAAATCGTGCTCCGGCGGCGCGGCGGCAGCGGGAGGCCCCATTAGCTAAAGTGGTGCTTCAGGTTAAGAACAGTGTCAGGTTAAGAACGGACCTCCGGAACGAATTAAGTACTTAACCCGAGGTACCAATTTATACTCTTATGTAACTGCAGGTTATTATAATAATCCTGCTAGTGTTTTTATCTGTTTAGAATTTATCTGTAAATATTCAATAACCTATTTCCATTCTTTTGTAAAAAGTTTGTTATCTTGAGTTCTTATTCTCCCAGTAAGCTTCACCATTTCTGCATATTCCATACATTTTTGTATCCATTCTTCCTTTGGTGGGACTTCTGCTTCTTTCCATTTTGGGGCAAATAATATTCTTGCTGCTGTAGTAGCCTACATGAATAAATTTCTATACAATTTAGGTAGTTGTATCCCTATAATTCCCAAGAGAAAGGCTTATGGGATTTTTTTTTACAAAAGCATCCTTTTCATTTCATTGTATATCATTTCCCAGTAAACCTTAACCTTATTACAAGACCATCAATGCAAGAGCAGCCTCTGAATCAAGGATGGGTAACCCTTTGCCTGTGGAGGGCTACATTTTATTGGGAGTAATCTGTCAGAGACGTAATGCCAGTAAATCTAGAGGGCAGCACAAGAGATTGTAGAACCATAGAACTGTAGAAGGGACCTGAGAGTCATCTAGTCCAACCCCTGTAATACAGGAATCTCAACAATGATAGGAAGAACCAGCACTGAAAGATCAAAAAGTGAAATCACTATGAACGTTGGCCACCGCCAGCTATCCCTGTGGTAATCTTTCTCACACCTCCAGCTTCACACCCAAAAAGTCGGGAGCATCCTGAGGCCCCCCCTTTCATGGTTTGTATTCATACTGAGAATTAAGATCAAGCAAGCTTTTGCCCTTCTGCTCCATGGGAGGTTTCTGTTCTTCCTGAGCCTACCTTAGGTCCTGAAAGACCTACATTGGCTCCCAGTACGTTTCTGACCACAATTCAAAGTGTTAGTGCTGACCTTCAAAGCCCTAAACGGCCTCGGTCCTGTATACCTGAAGGAGCGTCTCCACCCCCATCGTTCAGCTCAGACACTGAGGTCCAGCTCCAAGGGCCTTCTGGCTGTTCCCTCACTGTGAGAAATGAGGTTACAGGCAACCCGACAGAGGGCCTTCTTGGTAGTGGCACCCACCCGGTGGAACACCCTCACATCAGATGTCAAGGAAATAAACAAGTATCTGACTTTTAGAAGACATCTGAAGGCAGCCCTGTTTAGGGAGGTTTTTAATGTCTGATGTTTTATTGTGCTTTTAATACAGAGGTACCTCTAGTTACGAACTTAATTTGTTCCAGAGGTCCATTCTTAACCTGAAACTGTTCTTAACTGGAGGTGTGCTTTCACTAATGGGGTCTCTGGCTGCCGCTGCATCACCGGCACATGATTTTTGTTCTCATCCTGGGGCCATCCTCATCAACTCGAGGTAACTCTTCCAGGTTAGCGGAGTTTGTAACCTGAGGCATTTGTAACTCAAGGTGCCACTGTATTCTGTTGGGAGCCGCCCAGAGTGGCTGGGGAAACCTAGCCAGATGGGCGGGGTATAAATTATTATTATTATTATTATTACAGTCATACCTTGGGTTACAGATGCTTGAGGTTGTGTTTTTTCAGGTTACGGACCCCCCGAAACCTGGAAGTACTGGAACGGGTTACTTCCAGGTTTTGCCAGTCGCGCATGCGCAGAAGCGCTAAATCACTCTTTGCGCATGCGCAGAAGCACTGAATCGCAACCTGCGTGTGCACAGACGTGCCACTGCAGGTTGCGAAAGCTTAGGGTTGCGAACGTGCATCCCGCACGGATCACGTTCGCAACCCGAGTGTCCACTGTATTAGGACACCTGTGTCAGGGTTTGATAGGTGAACCACCCCACTCAAACTCCCCACATAACACTGTCTCTGGAGCAGGCTGCACCAAGTACACACCAGCCGCTTGGAGCCACAAGTGAAAGTCATTTGGGACTCACCTTCCTGCCTGCACCTTACCAGGTAACTGAAAAAACGGAAAGACCACTAAGCCACCAAGGGAGCAGCTTTGCCTCAGCCATTGACTGCAGTTGCTGAGCTCATTCAGAACTGCAGTTGTATACGCAGTGTTTAACCCACACATAACCCACACATTTATATTTTTGTAATTTAAAACATTTAAAACAACTCAGCGCTTGTTAGTAACTGAAGACTGTCCATCAAAATTAATTCAGTCTAATTTGCAATTGCGCTGCCTGAATTCTTTCTTCAGAAACTTAATTCTGTAAGTGCAGGCCTTCTTGTTTAATATGGTAATGACTTGGAGCAGGAGGAAATTTGGCTATGTACATTTTGTGTTTGTTTTCCTGTTGTTGTTACTATTTGTTTGAAGATGGCTTCTCAGCCTCCACCGTGACATCACATAGATCTACATTTAAAAGGATGCCATCATTAAATTTTGCCACAGACAGAAAACCACTGAAGCTTCTTTTCACCTTTCTAAAAAACTTGAGAACAGGTCAGGAAAGCTGAGAAGAGATGGCATGATGTCAATATCCTCCTTTCTGACACCCTTGTAAACTTATTCTACAGGCCTTCAAAACATATGGCAAGGGTTTTCAACTAAGCAGAAAGCTGATCACTGGAGCTGTTTTGTTTTTGTTTGCTTGGTTTTTACTTCTGGGCCAGTTGCCAAAATGTTTATTTTATTTTAATTTTTGTAGAAAAGCCAGAGTTTTGGACTGGCAGTCAGCACGTTTGTAAAGACCAGGAAATTTTGAGTAGAAGTCAGCAGAAAGGCTGACTTACCCCAAACTGATGTTTCACCCAATTTTGGGAGGCACTTTTGACACACACACACACACACACTTAACTTTCTAAAAACAAACAAACACCAACGCTTGTGCTTTTGGGAAGACTGCCACTTCCTATCCCACCCACTGCCACATTTCTTTCCCAGAATGCCCTGGGAAATATCCAGAGATATTGAAGCAGTTGATTGCTTCTTATGCAACAACCCAAAAAAATCAGCCATCAATATATATAAATCTTTGTTATTAGCAAACGAATTAGGTATTCAGGTACTGAGGGAGGATTGGAATAAAGAATTAGAGATTTCAGTTTTGAACACACAGTGTGAAACTGTTTTAGCTGCTATAACAAGGGTCTCTGAACCTTAAATTGGGGCTCATACAACAAAAATTCTATTTAGAATATACTGGACCCCATTACAGTGGTGCCCCGCAAGACGAATGCCTCGCAAGATGAAAAACTCGCTAGACGAAAGGGTTTTGCATTTTTTGAGTCATTCCGCAAGACGAATTTCCCTATGGGCTTGCTTCGCAAGACGAAACGTCTTGCCAGTTCTTGCGAGTTTGTTTCCTTTTTCTTAAAGCCACTAAGCCGCTAAGCTGTTAATAGCCGCTAAGCCGTTAATAGCCGCTAAGCTGCTAATAGCCGTGCTTCGCAAGACGAAAAAACCGCAAGACGAAGAGACTCGCGGAACGGATTAATTTCGTCTTGCGAGGCACCACTGTACGTTTGTTTTAAAAAGGGCTATCTAAGGCATCTAACCTTTGGAGATGCAATAGGGATAATGCTTCTCTAAAACATGTTTTTTCATTGTCCTATATTGAAAGATTTTTGGCAGAAGGTAACTGAAACAATCAACAGAACTGTATGGAACAACCTTACATTTACAGAGCAAAATATCCTCTTGAATTATATACCCAGCAAAGGGAAACTTACAAAAGGACAGTATAAGTGGACTCTCTGTGCCCTCAACACAGCAGATAGACTGATACTGATGAATGGGAAAAATAAAAATGCTGCCCCCTTCTACGATTGAACATATAAACAATTTGCATATAAACGCAGATTTTCCATGGACAAATTCAATATTTGGAATCCATTCTTACAAATACTGTAATAGATTAAGATCTGGTGAAGTACAATAATAAACTTGCAAAATATAGTTTGGTGCCATCGTCCCCCCTCCCTTATTTTCCCTTCTGCACGGGTTCTGTTTCTCTTTTTCTGTTTTTCTCTTTTATTTACATCCCACCATGTTAAGTGCACATATAATTATGTATCTTTTGAACTTTCAATAAAGATATTTGGGGGTGGGGAGGGAGAATGTCCTGGGAAATATGATGGCAGTGGAAGCCAGAGATTTGCTCTTGCTGGAGCTGGCAGTTTTCAATGAAACAAAAGGAAATATGCTGACCTAAGGCACACACGCGGGACGTGGGTGGTGCTGTGGGTTAAACCACAGAGCCTAGGACTTGCCGATCAGAAGGTCGGCGGTTTGAATCCCCGCGACGGGGTGAGCTCCCGTTGCTCATCGAAAGCACGTCAAAGTGCAAGTAGATAAATAAGTACCACTCCAGCGGGAAGGTAAACACTCTGGGGTTGCGGCGCTCATCTCGCTTTATTGGCCGAGGGAGCTGGCGTACAGCTTCTGGGTCATGTGGCCAGCATGATTAAGCCACTTCTGGCGAACCAGAGCAGTGCACGGAAATGCCGTTTACCTTCCCGCTGGAGCGGTACCTATTTATCTACTTGCACTTTGACGTGCTTTCGAACTGCTAGGTTGGCAGGAGCAGGGACCGAGCAATGGGAGTTCACCCCGTCGCTGGGATTCGAACCGCCGGCAAGTCCTAGGCTCTGTGGTTTAACCCACAGCACCACCCGCGCCCCTGGATCCAACCCAACCCAACCCAATGCTAATTCATATGGAAATGATGTCAGATAACATAAAGCTGGATTATTAAAGTCTACTGGACTTTAATATTCATTATTGGACTTCTGCTTCTCCATCAAACATTAACTCACAGAAATATCTACTACATATACTGAAGTTAGTAATTTCTGGCATTAAAAAAAACCCAAGAACAGTGAAGTTGCCAGAGGAGAGTGCCTATTTTCTAGTTTGCTTTAATGTAAATTGCAATACAATTTATAAAAAAAACTTACACATTTACCTGTTAATGTGGATAGTGATTTGCTATTTCAAAAAAAGGAGTACATTCTCTCATTCAAAGAGTAGCCTCTTTAAAAGGCTGCATATTGATTTGCCTTAATGAACTTTATAGCCTGACATCCTGTTGTTGCTGTTTTCTCCCCTCGTACATCCACTTAGGCACTGATCAGTAATTAAGGGTTAGATAACAGGACCGTGACATCATCTGCATGAGGCAAACTTTTTTTTCAGAAGAATTAATTAAAATCTAATTTCCAGGCGAGACAGGACCATCTGAGCCAAAACAAGGCAATGGTAATTGGCTGGGGAAAAGAGGAGCAATTGAAAAGTTTCTGTGGCACAATATCCCCACCTCCTAAAGATCTTTCTGACTCCTGCACACTCTGTGTATTATTGCCCAAAGGTAGCAAAATGCCATCAAAAATGAAAGAGAGAAAATGATTAAAGGTAAGTCCACACTGGTATGGTAAAGGTAAAGGACCACTGACAGTTTAGTCCAGTCACAGACGACTCTGGGATTGCGGCGCTCATCTCACTTTACAGGGAGCCGGCGTTTGTCTGCAGACAGTTTTTCTGGGTCATGTGGCCAGCATGACTAAGCCGCTTCTGGCGCAACAGAACACCAAAACCAGAGCAGCGCATGGAAACGTCGTTTACCTTCCCGCCAGAGTGGTACCTATTTATCTACTTACACTTTTTTTGGCATGCTTTTGAACTGCTAGATTGGCAGGAGCTGGGACCGAGCAACAGGAGCTCACCCCGTTGTGGGGATTTGAACCGCCTACCTTCTGATCGGCAAGCCCAAGAGGCTCAGTGGTTTAGACCACAGCGCCAACCGCGTCCCTACATACTGAACCCATATAGGCACCCAAACTACATGTGTGTGTGTGTCCCACCTATTTAGAAGTATATGAGAAGCAGAGGGGGGTGCTAGTGTAGGGAGGAACCTTAACATGCATCCCTCATATTGAAGGTTAGGGAAG